AAACCCAACTCATGTCATTCATGAAAACATCCATCAATTAAGTAAAATCATCAATCAAACATGGAGTTTGTCACATACATCAACATTAAACCCAAATCTAGACCTAGGGTTCTTAAACCCAAGAGAAGAGGGTGAGCTTCTAGAGAGAGAGGAGAGATTACAAATTTGAGCTCAAGATCTTCTTCTTCTGGGCTTGAATCCTTGTCTTCAATATCAACCCAAGCCTCCAATAGCTCCAAGATCACTCTAGCATTCTCTCTCTCTCACTAGAACTCTCCTTTGGTGTTTTTAGCCAAAACCCTAGAGAGGGAATTAAATTTCTCTCCAAAAACCAGCTCTCCTTCCTCTCTCCCCGCTGTTGTCTTCATATTTGCCCGAAAGGGACCAGTTCACGACCGTGAACACCTAAACGCACCCGTGAACTCAGTGTCGTCTCTAAAACGCACTGCTTCATTCTCATGGGTTCACGGTGTGTGTCATTAATGCAAGTTCATCGACTATATGATATTGTAAATAACAAACCTATGAAAAGAATGATTAAGAATGAAATAAGATTACTTTCACTTTTGAGTCAACATTAAAACTATTACTCTTTAAAATATTCATTTTTCTAATGCGCGAAAAGATAGCGAGCGGGCTTTTGCTAGTAAGCCACATCCATTTACCTGAAATTGAATCTGATGCCTGGGTGATGGTGAAGGTAGGGGTGTACATGGGTCTGGTGGTCCGGGTTTAGCCATTTTAATCAGCCGATCCATGCACAACGGTTTGGATCTAATTGGGTCGGGTCGGCATCGTCCGCGACCACAATGGGGGATTCCGATTAGCCGCAGTGAAGAGGTCGAGAAGAAAGTGGGCACCGGAAATAGCCGAAGCAATGGGTATAATGTTTGCATTGGAACTGGCTAAGAGGTATGGATTTGAAGAATTGGATGTTGAGACAGATTGCATGCTCTTGGTGCAGAGCTGCTGCGGGAAATGCGCTCGGCTTTGGAGGTGGAAGAGGTCTGCGAAGAGATTAGGGATGAAGCTGATGGGGTTGGGGACACCAGGTTTTTGTTTACGGGCCGAGAATGTAATAAACCAGCCCATATGCTAGCACACACTTTCTGCCCCTGGGACAGTGAGGAGATTTGGGTTTCTGACCCACCCTTCTTTTTGGCCCACCTCCTTTGTAAAGACTATACTTTGGGCCCTTCTACCTAAATAAAGCATGCAGATTGATTTTCAAAAAAAAAAAAAATTTGGGTTGGGTCGGGTTGGCAATATTTTTAAGTAAAAACCCAACCCAATACAAAATAGGTTTAATACCTTATTGTGGCCCGAACTATAACCATATAATCAACTTTGGCCCATAATTTCAGAAATTAACATCCTGGCCTCAACTATGCAGCATATAGACTCAATTGGCGCGACACATGGTTTGACCGTCAATTAGGACGGTCAACGCCGTTGACCGTTAGTCAACACGCCATGTCATTGCCTCGTCAGCCTAGAAATCATTAAAAATTTAAAATTCAAATTATTTTCCTAATTTCTATTATTGAAATTCAAATCTGTTTTGAAAGCATTTTACAGTATCTCGGGCCTTAAATGCAACCCTTCAAAATGTGAAATATATTTTGGAGGGGAGTCTGTTAAGTTTAAGAATACTGCTTTGTCTCTCTCGGGGTTCCAGGATGGTTCCTTGCCAGTGAGGTACTTGGGTTTGCCTCTACTCACAGGGAAGTTATCTTCAAAAGAAGTGGGTATTCTAGTTGATAAAATAACTAAGAGAATTCGATCATGGCCTGCTAAGAAGCTTACATATGCTGGAAGATTGCAGTTGCTTAATTCTGTTTTATTGGGGATTGTTCAATATTGGATGCAGAATTTTGTCTTGCCCAAGCTGGTTCTCAAGAGGGTGCAGAAGCTCTGCTCGCAGTTTTTATGGCATGGCACTGATGAAGGTCGTGCAAAGGTAGCCTAGGATAAAATTGCCCTTCCAAAGAGGGAAGGTGGTCTGTGCGAATGCTTTGGTTGTTCCTCCTTAACTCAGGTACTCTCTGGGTGGCCTGGATGCGTGAATATAAGGGTAAGCAGAGGGATCTTTGGTCGATGAAGCCCCAGTTTAGTAGCTCTTGGACTTGGAGGAAGCTGCTAAAACTGAGACACACTGTTAGTCCCTGGCTACGCAGAGGAACTGAAGGAGTCTTCTGGGGATCTCGCCTGATGCACACATTCTCAGTCAAAACAGTGTGGGATTCACTTCGTAGTAGACAGCAAGAGGTCCAGTGGTATAGACTTATTTGGGGCACACCATGTCCTCCTCGATATAGTCTAATTGCTTGGCTTATTGTTAAGCATGCCATTGTGACTAAGACAAAACTGCAGCAGTGGGGGAAAATTACTGATTCTTCCTGTGTTCTATGTGGGTCTGCAGCTGAGACTAGAGAGCATTTATTTATGCAGTGTATGTTCACGCGCAGAGTTGCCTTTACTCTGCGGTGCAAACTCTTGAATTTTTGGGATTGGGACTCAATGCTATCTGAGGTTTGTGTTATAGCTAGCCAAGGTACTTCTGGAAGTTGGCATGGGACGATTTGGTGCATGCTACTAGCATTTATTTGGAAAAAACGTTGTCTGCTGGTGCATGGAAAAACTAGTAGGGACCCTGAGGATGTTGCTTCTCTAATCAAAGCTGAGTTATGCTTTCTGGTGGCAGGAAATGTGGTGATGCGCAAGGAGCTGGAGACGATAGGATACCTTTAGATAGTTTACTCATACATTTGCAGGTTTTTTAGCATTAAAAGTAGTATTGTATAGGCGGGTGGTCCTGGTTGACTTTTTTTTTGACAAACATCCTGGTTGACTTGTGAGGGACCATTTTGAGCGTTTTGGCTTTTCTCGTTGTATTGGCTTTTTTCACTTCATCAATACGAAAGAATCTGATTCAACGAAAAGAAAAAAAATTAAAATATAAAATAAATTTATATTTTTTGGATATTTGAAAATTATAAATTTTATAAATTAACCAAAAATTAAAAAATTAAATTTTATAATTTAAAACATATTATATAAATTATAAATTTTTTTATGTGAAATAAAAAAAAATTCATTAAAACCGGGCCACATAGGAATCCCTGCTGCACCTCTCGAACTTTAACAACGTTTTAAGTAGTAGGATTACAAACCTCTTCTATCTACATTACTGCAAACTATCAAACTCTAACTGGAGGGCAGGATCTCCACTCACTCGATAGAGTACTTCCTCACGTATCAACTTGACCAACGTAGTAGGGTCTTTAATCACTCTTGACCCATACATCCGAGAGCACCTCTCACGCCAGATATGGCTCATAACAGCACTCCAAAATACTCTGCACAATCGTGACTTAGCACTCTGCGACTTCCATTCCTTTGCACACATACTACTGTCTCTTCCCAGCTCCCTACTACTGGGGGTGATTGACTCTTCATACACAGCTGCAACACAAACACCGAATAAGAACAGTGCACAAGAAGATGATCTCTACTCTCCTTACCTCTAGGGCATAATAGACAGCAGCCGGATATTTTTTAATTTTTGGGTAATTTTAAAAAATATAAATAATTTGATAATTTTTTATTAATTTGTAAAATTTATCATTTTCAAATTACCCAAAATTTATAAAATTAAATTTATTTTATGTTTTTTTATAATTTATTTTTGGTTAATTTGATAATAAATAATAAAAATTAGAAACATAATTTGAATTTTTTAATAATTTTTATGCTGACGAGGCAATGACATGGCGTGTTGACTAACGGTCAATATTGTTGACCATCCAAATTGACGGTCAAACTATGTGTCGGCCAATTAAGTCTAGATATTACATAGTTGAGGCCAGGATGTTAATTTCTGAAATCACAGACCAAAGTTGATTATATGTTCATAGTTGAGGCCAAAATAAGGTATTAACCCTACAAAATATGTAATTATTCTACACCTTAAAATTATTTTATAACTAATTAAAATTTCAAACGAACAGACCGTGGTGAAAGGTATCAAAATTCACAAATGTTGTTTGAATTTTAATTAAATGTGATTTACTTCAACATATGTCTATTTTTTTCACGACATTTGTTGAAATAGGCTAAAAAGGTTGTAAACGAATGCATCCATAATATATTATTCTATTAAAATTGTATACAAGAAAAAGGATTATGTGAATCATAGCTATATTAAATTTATGTCTAAACTTTAAACCGAAGAATGCGTTAGATTAGGGAGACCATGAGAGAAAAACATGGCGAAATAATTTATTTTTCTCATAAGTATGGTTATATAAGACATAAATATTTTTTGGATACGAACACCTACCAATAGTTGGAACACGGGTTGGGTCCGGTTCTACGGGTTGTGTAATCCAAAATCCAAACCCAACCCGAAAGAGGCGAGTTGTACAAAAAAAAACCATCACCCAACCCAAAACCTTCGTTTTAGCGATAAATACGGGTGGGTTAGATCGGGTTGGACAGGTGGTGCGATTTATTAGTGTGTTTGTTCACCCTATGTGAATGTGAAGGTGTTTGAAATTTGAAGCACTATCCGGCCAAGACAGGGTACCTTACTAGTCGCTAGTATTAGAACTTTGTTCACCAACTGTAAGGTGTGTGGTTGCGGTTGGGGCTCACTGCTCAGTGCCTCAGTCTGACAAGCAAGAAGCAAGCAAGGGTTAGCTTTGGCAGGCAACTAAAGCAAAGCAAAGCAAAAAGTCTACTCTTTAAGTCACAATCACCCCCAGTCCAGAGAAGCAGCTCTGCATTTCTCTGCCAGCCTGCCTATTCCCAGCAATCCAAATTAGGAAAATGACGAGTGATTGCCCCACCATTTAAAATTTTCAATTAATCAAATAGACAAAACAAAGGGTACCAAAACTCAAAACTCCCTCCTACTTGATATCTTCCATCTCATGTAAAATAGGTTCATATCATTTAGCAAGTAAAATAGCTTGACAGGTGGTATAACTAATATATACCGATTCATGCCAATATAAATTTATTAAATAATGATTAACATATTTTTTATCAATTAACTTCACTCAAACAACATAATTTTACTTAAAGAACATAAATTGATCATACCCGTCATAACCGGTGGTGTTCACAAACCGAATTCATGACAGTAGGAATGACAACAATGTTGCCAAGTCTCTCCTTCACTCCCTCTCTGGCTCGTGACCTCACCCAGTTCCATTTCATGTCTCCGACTCTCCGGTCACTACCCAACGATTCCACCAAGATCCAGCTTAGGATAACCAAATTATACTTGGCCGGAAAGCAATAACTAATAAGGACTCGGGGTATTACACCATAGAGTTACCACAAAGCTTACTACAAAGCATTAGTATGTTACTACTTACTACTTTACTCAACCACTCTCGTTACAACTGAAAGAACCATAAACAACAAAAGTGACAAGAACCCAGAAACAAAAGAACGAAACTACCACCACCACCACCATTAATAACAAGCCTACATAATACTACCATTTCGAAGCAGAGTAAGTGGAAATCGCCAGACACTGGTCTTCCCACCCGTCAAACCATAGCAGATTTGCGGACGAAGTAACGATAAGCAGCCACCTTCCTTCTCCTGGAGGCAGAGTTGTCCACTGACAGCACCATCTTCCCCGCTTCTCTCGCTGTATACGAGTTATGGATGGCCTCTTCGCTCGCGTTTACCTTCCTCTGCTTCTCCACAGCAATGGTGTAGCTTCCTTCCGCATTGGGGACAAACTCAGCGCTGTACTCCAATTCCCACCCTCCCACCACTATGTCCCACGTTATGGTCGCCCCCGCCTGCCAAAATCCACAGTTGTAGTGTAAAAATCTGGCATTCTACAGAACTGGAATTTCACTTTTTCCAGCGGGTAATGTGATCTCGGTTTACCTCAATCCCTTCGATCTGGATGTTCACCTTCTCTCCCCCTTTGATGGCGAACTCGGACGCTGGTTTCGGTGGGTCGTTGTGCAAATCGCCAGATCGACTCAGTCCTCCGTACTGGACTGGTACATCTTCCGGCCTAATGAATCTGTGAAAACAGAGAGGCCAGTTCGGTTAACCAACAAACCAGGGGGAGAAATTGGTGGCATTTATTATAGTAGAGCAGCTTCCATGGACCACTAATGGAAATCTCCATACCAGAAAAACAGAATCGGATCCAGCAGAGAAGAAACAGTTTGAATTTAATCGAAGCAAAACAAACAGAACAGAGAGAGAAGAAGTCTCACTTGTACAGAGTCTCAGCAACATTCCCTTCTTTCGAGATGACGAACTTGCTCTTGGTCCGTTGAGTCAAGAACGGGCTGAACATCGAGTACAGAACGCTGAAGTACCACGGCACATTTATGAATATCTACACGCGCAAAAGAAAACCCAGTTAGAGAAAGAAGAAGGAAGAAGCACCAAATAACAAATGGAAGAAAACCCACAAGTTTTTTTTTCATTTGCTAACCTTGCGAGCGACCATTTCAGGGTAGTTATCCTGGAACAAGGAGAGGATATGGTTGGAGGCGACACGAAGCTCTCTTTTGGGCATGTCCTTCATATCCGTAACTTGGATAATGGAGTTCACTCCCCCGGGCTTGAAATGCAACAGATTAATCCCTCTTTCGAGGACTTGAACCCTCCATCTCAGGAACCTCTGAAGCTTCTCTTCGTCTCCAAACACCTTCTCGTACATCTCCTTGTCTTTGAAGACGCCATAGGCATTGTAGCAAACCGGGTGGCCTTCCCGGTCAAACCCTTGCATATAGGCCACCACTCCTTCCAGTTGTTTGAACCCCAAATCCTCTTCCACCACGGAATCCGCACCGAATTCCTTCCGCCAGGCGAGGCATTTTTCGAGCATGGAGAGGGATTCGGGGACTTTGAAATCCCTAGCTCGGAGGAACTTGAGGAGGATGACTGTGGCCTTGTCGTCGGAGCTGAGAAGGTCGATTCCCCACATGGAGCAGGGGCCGCCAGCTGCGGCGGAGAGCTTGTCTTGGAGTTCTTGGAGGGCTTTTTTGTCGGAGGGTTTGAGGTTGGAGACCAAGTAGTTGTCCTCTTTGAAGGATGGAGTGCGGAGGGTGGCGGCCTCCATTAGGGAAGTTACCAAGCTCTTCTTGTACGGCTTCGGAGACGCGGCCGCGGCGGCGGCGTCGTGTGGGAAGTGGGGTTGCGGAGATGGAGATGGAGCTGCCGCTACTGCTTCCATTTTAGTGCGGATTTGGGGAGAAAAACGCAATGGGGAATTGCTAATGGGGGAAGGAAGGTTAGAGAGAGAGAGAGAGCTAATGTGGTGCTGGTGAAGCCTGAAAAAGGAAGGAAACAGAGGGTGAGAAAGCAGGAAAAAGTGAAACGGAGAGAGAGGGGAAGGGAAGGCTTGAGCCTGGGCGTGGGGAAGCACAAATGGCAGAGGGAAGAAGAAGAAGAAGGGAAAGGGGAAGTGGGCAGTAAGGAGAATTTGAATTGCGCGAAAAGTGGCGAGTGGGTTTCACTTCACTTCACTCCACTCACGGTTTTGTTGATATTTTTTCTTTTTCTTTTTCTTTTTCTTTTATTTTCTCTCCATTTAATATTTTCGTATTTTTGTGAGGTGATCAGAGCCGACCGGGATTGTTGATTGCGTAAATCTTGGGGTGTCAACAAAAGTCCAAGGTACCAACCCAACTTATTTTAATCGACGTGGATTTATTTCCAATATTTAATTACAAACTCCTCATTATATATATATATGATTGTTTTGCGGAAAAAATAAATAATATTAGGCTGCAGTTTTTATTAAATATATTCTAAGTATGCTTGTATGTAGAATACAACAATTTTTTTCCCTCATTTAAACACGGAATTCAATAATTCATGTATTGAAAACGGAAATTATGCATACGGAATCCTTTAGGGGTCGTTTGGATTGATTGTTTGAGGGTGTTATTTGGGCCCAAATAACACAAAATGTGTTATTTGAGCACAAGTAACATGTTTGGATGGAGTAAAATTGGTGTGTTATTTGGAGTGTGTTATTGTGAGAATAACACATTTGTGGTGTTTGCCAAATAACTGAGGGGGGCCAGGTATTGTCCAAACACCACATTCTTGTATTTTTCATTCCGATTCTATCCTCATTATTTTATTGCTAAACCCATACTACCCTTGCTTTATCTGCAGCACCTTTTCACTTTCCTTCTCCAAAGAAAAACGAATATGCTCTTCTGACTTGTCTTCTCCATATCTCTTTTCTTATCGAAACCCAAGCAGCTGAAGCAAAGGGAGCATAGTCACCGTCTGATTTTGCGTTCGTCGACGTTGGCGTAGGTTTAGACAACTCGTTTGGTGGTGCTGCGTTCTACGCAGAAAGCATCTGAAGTATCAGGTATGCCTTCTCGTTCCAAAGGAAAATAGGGTTTGCTCCAATCGGAACTTCCCCAATAATGATCGATCCTTCCTTTTTGCTTCTTTGGAGATTGGTATTTGTTTCTTCTTCCAAAATATTGTGATTATTTTATAATTGTTAGGTAGGTGAAAATGGCTTCTCTCAATAGTTAATCCAACCTCTTGGAACGAGATATCTCTTCCAAAGATGATAGTCCCATAATTGATTAAATGGGTGTTCTTTTGTTTATTATTTGTTGGTTGATTGGAATTATATGTGTAGTTGGCCAATGAAGTGACCCGAAGTTTGTTATCTGCTTTCTCTCGAATGGAATTTTGTTTGTTAGCTTGTGATTGCTTGTCTGGGTAATTTGTGAAGGCATTGAACTTGTATGAATGATATAGCATAGGGTTGGATGTTTGGTTTCGTCAATTGCCTGTGAATATGTAACTGATAAAGTGTCTCTTTATTTTTCATATAATAGGGATGGCACGGTTACCTACCTTGTCTCCAACACGTAGGCTTCATGTGGTAGCAGCAATTAGCTCTTTCCTAAACTTGATTATGATTTACGTAAATTTAGGTATGGGATTAGCCGAGCTCATAGAAAAACGAAAATCTAACCCAAGACTTGGTAGGCAGCCCATGGACACCGACTTAGTTAGACATTATGACAGGCAAAGACACCTTGAACTGGCAATCCGTAGGAGTGACACATATGCGTATGATAGGGTTAGGATGAACCGAACCCTATTCAACTCTTTCTGTCACCTTCTTATTACTGTAGGAGGATTGAAAAGAACTAGGAATGTTGACATAGATGAGATGGTTTACACCTTTCTTCGCACTATTTCTCACAACGAGAAGAACAGAACTTTAATACTCAATTTGCGACGATCGGGAGAGACCATTTCTCGCTCTATACATCGGGTGCTAAGGGCTGTCATTCGCCTAAATGATATGTTAATGAAGAAGCCTGTCCCGATTCCTGAAAACTCTACCGATAGTAGATGGAAATATTTCAAGGTTGGTTTGGACATTTTTTTAAACTGGTTTACTCAATACTTAAAAGTTGGTTTCATTCGATCTTTAAAATGGTTATTCTTGTGTGTTATAGAGTTTTTTAGGAGCCCTAGATGGTACTCATGTACGTGTTCGTCCATTGAAAGAGGACCGATCTAGATATCGAGACAGAGAAGGGAAACTTTCTATGAATGTGTTGGGGGTGTGCACTCCAAATTTGGAGTTCATCTACTGTCTTTCCGGGTGGGAAGGTTCTGCCCATGATGGAAGGGTCTTACGAGATGCCTTGACAAGGCAAAATTGTTTTACTGTCCAACAAGGTAAATGATAGTATTAGGTTAACGTACAAGTTTACTTAATAAAAAAAAGAAACCCCTCTAAACAAACTGATTTTGGTGTGTATTGTTTTACTATAGGCTGTTACTATCTTTGTGATGCTGGTTATGCAAATAGTCCTGGATTTTTGACCCCATACCGTGGTCAAAGGTACCACCTCAAAGAATGGGGTGTTAATCCACCTGAAACTGCCGAAGAGTTCTATAATATGAAGCATTCATCAGCTAGGAATGTCATAGAACGCATTTTTGGGATTTTAAAAATGCGATGGGCTATTCTAAGAGACTCATCATGGTTCACTCCGCGTGAGGTTGCTCGAATTGTGGTTGCATGTTGCATTATACACAACTTCATCAAGAGGGAACAAGGAGCCGATCAATTTGAGAGAACATATCAAGATGAAGAACCGGAACATCATCCTTCAACTGGGGTTGAGACAGTTGATACTTGCAGCATGCATCCTTGTCCGGAATGGACACAATATAGGAACCAAATAGCAATTTCCATGTGGGAAAATAGGCCTAATAGATGAAAAAGTCCCCTATTAATGTGATGTTTCTGTGACCTTAATTATGTACTGAAGTTTGTATGGTATGGTCCTTGTTTATGGTTATTGAAGTTTGTACTTAAATATGTGAATGTTGGATGTTCTTTCTGTTACTATCTTGGAGGGGATGTTCTTTACTAGGTGATTGCAACATATTTTTCATTATACATACAACTTACACTTTTGTCTAGTAGGTATGGGAAAGAAGAGGAAAGTTGTAGACAATGCTGGTGGTCCTTCACGGGAGTATAATGTGTGGGATTCCAAACACGACGAGCCTTTTCTGCAGTGTTTATTGGAACTAACTGAGAAAGGGCAGATTAGTGACGGCACATGCAAGAATGGTGCATACAAGGAACTAGAACGTATGATGGAAGCCAAAGTGCCTGGTTGTGGAGTGAAGTCGAAACCCACGATTCTGAATAAGTTCAAGAAGTGGAAACAGAAGTATCATGCCACCGTTGAGATGCGTTTGGTAAGCGGGTGGGGTTGGGACCCTATACGCTGCCATATATTGGCTGATGACAAGTCCTTTGATGACTATGTGAAGGTAATTGTTTTTATTTTTTTTGTTTATTGTATCTTTTAGTGACTGTCAATGTGAATTTTCCATTAAATGTCTCACACTGTATGTTGGGGGTAGTTTCTTAGATGGTAGGTTTGTATTTATGAAGGCCTTTACATCTATAAATGCTACCACTATTTGCTTTACAAGCTGCATGTGTTTGTTTTACAGGTCCATACACACTGCAAGGGAATGAACAAAAAACCATTTCCACAATTTTGGGCACTCGAGCCAGTGTTTGCCAAAGGTCGTGCTAATGGTGAAACTGGGTTCACCGGGAATGATGGAAACTCGTCCAATACTAGCGCTGAAGGTGAAGAGCCGCAACCCGAATGCTTTGAGGAGTCTGTCCCTTTTCATGTCGAGGACTTCAACATTGACACTACAGAGGAAGTAATGGCGGATATCATAAATGAAGGGGTTGAAGCTCGTAACTGCAGCAAGAGGAAGCACTCATCAAAGCCTAATTCGACAAAAAAGAAGAAGAAAGGGCAAGCCGATGATAGTACCTCTGAAGTTGCAGCTGAGATGAGAGAGATGAGGCCACTCATAGACCGATCAGCTGAGACGATTGCTCGCGCTTTGGGTGAGAGAGAGTTGCAGAACAGTATGCGACTCGATTTGATGAAGAATTTAGAGAAGCTAGAGGGTCTTACCAGGTCTCAAATGGTACTTGCTTGCAGAAGGCTTAACAACAGTCTGGGAGACTTGAAGACCTTCTATAATATGGAAACAGATGAGGACAAGATGACCCTTGTGCTTGATATTCTGTCTATGTGAAGATGTGGTTTGCTTGTCTTAGGATTAGTGATGTCTTTGTCCAGTTTGCAAAGAGTCTTTTGCCTATGTATCTGTCATTATAAAGCACTTGTAATGACAGTCTTTGCAAACCTATGACAAGCATCTATTTTGTGAAGTGCTAGATGGTTTAGAAAACAGAAACTTATGGTAGATATGGTGTAAATGGAATGGAAATGCATATATTTATATAAATTGCAGCTTGTGTTTTTCTTTTTTAGGGATTGTTGCTTTACTCTGTTGGCATACGTATGAATCTTTCTAGGATTGTAGCCCCCAGTTTGGCTTACTGTAAATGAATGATGAATGGAGGTAGAAACAAAATATTGAGGAGAAGATGGAGAAACAGAAGCTAGAACACACTTTTGTTGGGAACTCTCGATGAACAAGTGTATGAAGGGATCAATTGTGTGCTTTAATTTTTTTACATCTTTACAAAGGGTAGTTTGGTATTTTCTAAGTTTGTGTACCAAATAGCACATCACAAAATAACACATCTCTAATCCTTCCCAAACATGATATTTGGAACAAATATCATATACCAAATAACAAGTATTTGACTATGTGGTATTTGCTAGGTATTTGGCCTCAAATAACAGGTTTTTCAAATCATCAATCCAAACGACCCCTTAGAGATTTAGTATCTATATTTCATTCAATGTGTAGTCCATGCATTCTTTATTTCCTTTATGTTTTCTAAACAATATGAATTCCTAAAATGCAAACATTCTTTGTATTCGCACAATCTTAGTACTACAGATGACAATGAGATGGATTTGCCTAAACCATCTCCATCCTCGTTTTTAAATATCCAATTCCAAACCCATAGGGCCCCATGCACATGCGGAGAAGTTTTTGCAAACTCATTCCAATACACGTGGGTTGGGGAGCGGATCCCCTCAGTAACCAATACCTCAGTAACCATCAGTAACCCCTTTCCCTGGCCCCCACGTGTCAGCTTTTTCTTTTTATTTAAAAAAAATACGGAGGGGCACTAAGGTAAAATTGCACCCCCTATTTAATGATGTCTCTGACGCGCTGACGCGCTGACGCTGACCAGATCACATCAGCGCCTTCTCTCTCCTCAAACAACCTTTAATTTTCCTTCTCTTAATCTTTAACGGACGATTTCTCACTCGTTTTAAGTCGGAATTTAATTTTTTTGCACAGTTAGATCAGATTAATTGTGCTCTTCAAAATGATATCCACTTTGATATTTTTCAGACATAAAAAAATTTGTCAGTTATTACCAGTCTATACCATATGGTAATGACTGGTATTGACCATACCATATGGTATGAAAAAATTTGTCACATCAATATATATTACGTTACCACCAAATACCATATGGTATAGTGTGGTAATATCAATATATATTTCGTTACCACCCAATACCATATGGTATAGTGTGGTAATATCAACATATGGTAAATCTAACTACCATACAATGCCAACATAGTAGAACATGATTAATCGAATGAACACAAATTAATTGTAATTACCATACAATACCACATGGTATGAGAAGTTAAAACCATATAAAAATAATATAAATCTAATTACAACCCTTTTACGACCATAGTAAAACACGATATCCATAAAAATACATTTCGTTACCACACTTTACCATATGGTATACATTTTACCATATGGTATAGACACATTACCATATGGTATAGACACTTTACCATATGGTATATACACATTACCATATGGTATAGACACATTACCATATGGTATATACAAATTACCATATGGTATAGACACATTACCATATGGTATATACACATTACCATATGGTATAGTGTGGTAATCTCAATATATATTCTCAAAGAAGGGGAAACAGAAGGAGGAAGAGGGAAAAAAACTTGTCTTCTGTCTCCTGTCATTTACTCCTCCGCAATGAAGAACACCGAATGCAAAAAGAAAGAAAAAGAGGAAGAAGATCGGAATTAATTCACAAACAAATACTAAAACACAAAAGATGCAAACTCAACTCACCTAGATCTGTCCCCTCTTTGACAATATGGAGCATCATCGATTTTGAGGCCGATAAAAGAAAAAAACAGAAGGAAGGAGCAGCTTGAGAGTAGAAGGATTTGGAGCCTCACCGAATTTGAAGTGGGAGGCTGCAATTTATTCATCGATTGTTGGAGAAAAAAATGAAGAACAAGAGAAGAAATGAGATTTAGATCTGGAAAAAGAATTTTGGAAGAGAGAAAGGAAGAAAGAGAAAAGAGAGAGGAAGAGAAAAGTATGCTTTTTCTCTTTCATCCATTAAAAGACAACACATATAAATACTGGAAAAAATAAAAAAAAGGAAAGAAATCAAATTTCAAAAATCGGACAAAAATGCCCCTCCTCACTCCACGTGCAGCCCAACAATATAATAATGCCATCCCTAGATCTACGGTCCAGATTTAATACTGATAGGTCAGTAACCAATGGTTACTGACCCTATCTGCTGCCCGTGGGTTGCGGTTACCAATGGGTAATACCCATCTCGTGCATCTAACATTACAATACCTAAAATTTTACATGAAAATTTTCAATTATAACATTAAACGCTCAAACTATATCATGAAATCGACAAAGAAACAATCATTCTTAATATGGCTCACAACATATCCTAAAACAACCATTAATCCATAAGATAGAGTACAATGTAATCCAAATTATTATTCTCTGACTCGAATATATCTACTAAGCAATAACTAACTAACAAAATCTTGCTAGCACGAGGGAAAAAGTGAAAGAGTGAAGGGAGAGCCGAGGAAAATTAATTACGTTCTGATTTGGGTGGCCACTCAATTGCATTTCTACTAATTATTTTGTAGTTCCCCTCACTATCATCCATAGATTACTATTTGATCCATTAATTTGATATATGTGAACAAAATTCTTGATGGACGGGTATGAGTATGGCGTGGGGAGGCTAAAATCATATTCGCCACATACCCTTTCCTTATTGGGGTCGTTTGGATGAATCGATTGAAAGATGACATAATTTGACCAATAGTCTCATTTTACAAATCGAAACATTTAAACGAGCCAATTCAAATTGTCTACCCACCATCCCAGACAATTGTAATTGCCTCAAAATGAGTCAATTTGAAATTCTCCAGGTAGAATTGATTGATCTAAATTTTGTTGCCAAATGGATCAATTTGACCAGATTGTCTCAAACTAAAATAATTTGGTGAAATTTATCCGTTAGAATATCTCATCCAAGCCCGTTAGAATGCCTCATCCAACTGACCCCTTTATTTATGTTTTCTACCATTCCTCCTCCCTCACTCTGCTGAAAACTCCAAACCATGTCCGCCGATTCCAGCCAATCTCCTCTGATTTCCTCCGCTCGATTTTGACAACCCATGCCGCCACCGCCTTGCTCGCCGCCAAATGCTAGTCTTTTATCGGAAGGCAAGCTCGAGATCCAGAGCGACCTTGACTCTAACTTCGCCGGGCTCAACCGCCACATCAACAATGCGTGAGATTCTCATTTGTAACGGGATCCTCCATGATGCCATTTATGAATCCTCTTACGAGTGCAACGTTGTTCAAGCCCAGTCCAGTAACTTGTCGACCTGTCTCCAGATCTAGTGCGCCAAGTCAAGGAACTAGACAATAGACTCAACTCATGGGAGAATAAACCAATTATTAGCTTTTACAAATTGTTTATTTTTAAATGAGTTTCTGATTTTATTGTTGAATCAATCTTCTTGATTTTTTCATTTGAATCTTTGTTTACTTGCTTTCTTTACATAATACCTTTTGCCAATTGTCTCGTGTGTTTCTTGGTGCTTTGATTTTGATTTCCAAGGGTTATGCTCACGGGGAGAAGAGCAAGGGTGGAGAAGTCTTCGTCGACAAAGAACTCTGGTGGCAGTAGTTGTGGAGAAGATGTGTGTTGTTCTTAGGGGTCGTTTGGATTAGAGTTTTCTATGAGGGATTTTAACACAATCACTTACAATGAGAGATTTTAATAGAATCACCCGTTTAGAAAAGATCTAAACGATTAGAGATTTTAAACATTAGTAAATTCAGAAACCCTCAATTGTGGGATTTAAAAATAGATGATAATCATAAGCTATTTGTAAATCTCTCATTTTTATTCCCTTCTTTCCAATACTTACCCTCGTCCCTACTTTCGTCTTCCGTCTTCCTTTTCTCACTCACCACCAGAATTCCCAGTCCCCACCGCTTCCACCACTCCCACACAACACCAGCGAGTGCCTCCAGCTAATTCTTTCCGGTTGAATCGCATGCCGCCGCAGGAGCCGAACAAGCGATCGAGAACCAAGCGAACCAGATTTCGCTCGACCAGAGGAGAGGCGTAATTGAGCGGAGAAGGCAGTAGACGCGACCGGAATTCGATGCTCGCCGAACCAGAATCCTCTTCCACGATCATTCATTCTCCCACCAACCACCAGTCTAGACAAAGAAGAAGCTCGTGAGAGCGGTCAAGAACTAGGCAAAGAGATCTGGGTTCGTTCTTTGGGATGGGAACTTCTGGTTTCATTGGGGCAATCTCTGGCATGGTGATTTCCGCCGATTTCTGGGCTTGTTCCTCGATTTTCTCCTGATTGCTTGTCGATGATTGGGTGTTCTTTGGGAGGGGCAATTTTTGGGTTCGTTCCGGCAAATCGGCTACTGAAGAGACAAAGAACCCGATGATGGGAGGGAAAGCGAGGACATGCAGCAGCAGTGAGGGATCCACTGCCCTTTTCCAGCGACAATTGCTTCCGCAAACGATTCACATCCTCCCTTCCCATCTTCTTCGATGAGACTTGTCCTTCCAGATCGAAACCGTTTTCTGGTTTCTTTCAATTGATGGTGTAGATCTGATTGCCTAAATCTTCGATTATTGACGGTGATATGACTGGGCGACGGGGAAATGGATTGCTCTCCGAGCTTCCGTGGGATGCAAGCTTGTCAACCCGCGGGTTGACCCGGACCCGGTCGAGCTAGTAAGTCAAGGGTTAATGGGTCAACCGTTTTAGCCCGGTTTGGCCCGGAAATATAGAAAGAGTCATTATATTGCACTTATCCTCATAAATTATATCAAATCTTATCTAACAGTTATAACATATAATATTAAACCAAAATAACATATCGTACTTAGATCCAACATATAGTGAAAATTCACACACACTTATATAACATAAATATTCAAATGTTCAACTTAGTATTCCAAAGATTGAGTTAGGCGAAAAGAAAAATTGGAAAATAGGCGCATTTCGCAAACTAAAGAAAAAATGACACAATTTGACCTCCAACCCGGTACCTAATAGCGGTCGGCCCAGCGGGTGCGTGCGGCCTGTTTTTCTCACCGGGTCAGGGTCAAATTGGGTCGACCCGTGGGTCAACCCGCGGGTTGACAACCTTGGTGGGATGCCTACGACGTGGAAGACGATGAACAAAGAGGGCAACCTAGAAATTTGGCGTTTCTCATTAAAAACCCACATATTTAAACAAACAAAGGATTTGATATAAATCCTTAATCACAAATATCTGGTTTTTTAGTTGAGTGATTTGAGGCAAAATCTCTCACAAATCTCTCAAATTAAAAACTT